CACACACACATTCTCTACACACAGCACGCTAACACACACTATCCTCTACACACAGCACACAGACACCTAAATTCTACACACAGCATGCACACATTTTATATACACAGCACGCTTACACACAGCACTCTAACACAGTCCTCTACATACAGCATGTTAACATACAGTCCTCTACACACAGCACACTAACACACACATTCTCTACACACAGCATGCTAACACACAGCACACTAACACACACATTCTCTACACACAGCACGCCAACACACACTGTCCTCTACACACAGCAGGAACACACATTCTCTACACACAGCACGCCAACACACATAGTCCTCTACACACAGCATGCACACACATTCTCTACACACAGCACGCCAACACACACAGTCCTCTACACACATTCTCTACACACAGCACGCCAACAGACACAGTTCTCTACACACAGCACGCCAACACACACAGTCCTCTACACACAGCACACTAACACACACATTCTCTACACACAGCACGCCAACAGACAAAGTGCTCTACACACAGCACGCCAACACACACAGTCCTCTACACACAGCACACTAACACACACAGTCCTCTACACACAGCACACTAACACACACAGTCCTCTACACACAGCACACTAACACACACAGTCCTCTACACACAGCAATAACACACACAGTCCTCTACACAGAGCAGGAACACACACTCATTCAGCTACACACATGGCACAGTGTTACACGCGACTCAGCCATCAAGCAGTTGAAATCACTGCGGATGGGAGAGGCTGGAGTGGCTGGTATTTTTCATTATGGGTATTTCCACACTCTCCAGTGATTAATGTCATTGTTTTGCAGCCCCTTCAGTCTGTCTCAACTGCACTTCCAATGTCCTATATGCAAACACACTAACCCACTGAAAGGAAATGGTAAAAAAAGCCTTTTGGTTGTTCTAGTTAAGCTCTTAATTTGGACAATATTACTGCCTCAAGACAACAGAGCATTCATCCTTGGCAGTGCCTGATGTGAAATTAAACTGTGAGGCTGATGATACAGTGAATTATGAGACCATAAACGCTTTTACTATAATGCTTTTGCCTCAGTCACGAAAGCATGCTGAGATGTGACTGGATGGCTAGGCTCATCAAGCGATCTAGCCTGCCACTGTCCAGCAGGTGTCCCTGTAACCCCAGAAGATCCATCTGGAAAACAGCAGATGGAACGGCTGCAGCTGCACACAACCTCAGGATGCTGCTGCTCAGGCTTGGTGCCTTAGTTTAGGATTCTGGAACCTCACCTGAAAGCCTCATTAAGACCAAAAAATCCACATTTCTCTACAGTGGCAGGTGAATGAAAAACACTACAAAGTGGGAAACAAAAGCTCGCATATCAGGGCCTTTCACGACTTAACGTGACGTTACAAACCTGTTTCTCCTTCCAAGGATCTATTCACCTACAGTAAATAGACGTCTGACCTGGGCATGAAGAATGCAGAAGAGAAGCAAGTAGGACACCAGCTAGTCTGATGGCTGTGGAATTGTGCAAGCAAGCATCAGCACTTTTATTCAAGAGCTCTGCACTTCCGGGGTCGCAGAACGGCAGTCGTGCGCCCTGCTCGCGGGCTTTACCTTTCCAGTTGTAGGTGCCCGGCGCCCCGAACAGGATGTAGTTCCTATCCGGGGTGAAGCTGGCGGACATGCCCTGCTGGCAGTAGCCGAACTGCTCGTGGCCCTGGGGCCGCCCCTCGCAGAACTTCCACTCCCCGCCGTCCAGGTCGTCCTGCTCCGTGAGGTCCTCGCTCAGCATGTAGCAGCGGCCGATGGGGTCCCGCGTCTCCTGCTGCCGCCGCACCCACTGCCGCAGCTCGTACAGGTGGGCGCAGGTCTGGCCGGGAGGAGACACCCTTTTAAATCCCGAAAATATGGTGTCGTGTGGCAACAGGGTCCTGGCTGCCCTGGGGCAAAAGGGTTCATCTCTGGCATCTCTGGAGCTGCGGGAAGGCCTCACACAAACAGGGTAAAGGAAGTGGATCTCCACAGTGCTGCAGAGATCTGGTTCCTTTCAATAAAGGAGATGACGAAGGTGACGAAGGTGGCGTTTATAAAGGCAACCCAGGGCTACTTTAGGACCAACTGCAGAATAGGACCCCAATTGCAAAGGTGGAAGTTAAGCAGAAGAACATTGAACACGGGCATCAAGAAATGTGTCTTTACACAAAGGGAGGCGGATGTTGGGAGCAAGCAAGCTTGCCAAATTTTTTAAATCCCCCGGGATCCTTCACAAATTGAGATCCTAGGATGGAGAAGCCACAAACAATCACAGGGACAAGGTGAGCCGAACGGCCCCTTCCCATTTGCAATCCAGGTTTTACGTTGCGATAGGTGGGAATGTACGGAAGGACTGACTGAGCTCACCACCACTTTCCCGCCTATCCCCTGGCTCTTCACGGTCACGCCCAGCCACTGGTTCGCCTTGCTCTCGTGATCCGGACTCACTGGGGGCGACAGGAGCGGGTACACACGGCTCCGATTAACAAAAACAAGTATTCATCGCGGCACCTAAACAGGCCGGCAAAACGTGAGGATAGACGGCAAGCGTTGTTAACACTCACTCCTCTCGATTGTAACTGGATTGTAAAAGAGATACAGACAGATGAGCCGCCCGACTCATTTCATTCTAACTCGGCCTCACCTCCTTTATCGATGTCCACTCGCACGCAGTCCCACTCCTCGGCTGTGATCGGGCACTGGTAAAGTGCCCCCGTTCGAACGTCATGCTGGGGCTGGAACCCGCGGGCCTGTGGTGCCCCCACCAGGATCCTGGAGAAACAGCATCCACACTGGGGTTAAAGGTTGAACTCTGGGGGGGGGGGGTTAACTTCCTCTCTGCTCACATAAACCCAGGCTCTGATTAACTGCTTGTGTATTGTTAACATTTCTTCTTATGTTACATAAGCCTTTATAAATCAACCTCTACTTAATTTCCTGCTCGACATGCTATTCCAACAAACAGCCTTTTGGGCTGGACTTCTCAGTCAGTGTCATGCTGAAACACTTCTTCCCATTTCCTCCGATTCTGCCAGATTCACCGGTGCAGCAGGGCACATAGCACGTGGAAAACCCCTGACGTTCTGGCTTCTGTTGAGAAATGGCTGGATGAGATCCTTGCAATCAATTAGTGAATACAAATAAATCGAGCTTGGACAGTCCAAAACGGCCTCCACTTGTTTGAAGCCGTTATTATGTTTTTGAAACTTATAATCGGAGGAAAAGGGTTGCTCTGAATGGATATTGGATACTTGCATCCCCATTTCCGTTTTACAAGAAATGTCTGTACAAAACTGCAGAGTCAGTCTATGTCAGTAATTCATTTAGTACCCAATACTCCATCAGTCAGCTGCAAGTGAACGGAACTGAGATTACTTAGGCTTGAGACAAAGTGGGATAAATGGTACTCCTGGTACTGCTGATAAACAGCTTTCCATCTCTGATACCTTTTTGGGGCACTGTATTGCAGCCCTGCAGGGGTTAAGAGCAGAGGTGCTGGGGGTTAGAGTGGATTCCACTCTGACACACACACACAGCAGTCTATTGTCACCCAGAGCTGGTATTTCAGCTAGCAGCCCTGCGATCTGCCTTATTTGGACTGGCTGGCTCTTCATGGGGGCTATTTAAAAACAGCAAGGAGAGCCACATTCCAGTCAGCCTTCTCAGCCATGACAGAGCCCAGGAAAAAAAAGAGTGAGGAGGGAGGGCTGCATCTTAAAGAGGAATCCGGAGCTACCAGCTTTATCACCGTCAACCACTTTCCCGCCTCGCCCGTACTGTACCTGGAGATGCTGAACTGTTTGCTTTTGTTGGAATTGATAAAGTGTGGCTTTCAATAGAACTGGAAGTTTGCTGTCATTATTTGTACTCCTTGTAATGACACTTGTATTGTAGGTATTGTCAATAACTGTTAACACACAATCGTTTGAACAATTTAAACACTTGAGGCCTTTTGACCCAACCAGCCCATTTGGCAGCTGGTTGTTAACTAATAAAAGGACCACCTATAGGAGGCTAGATGGGTCAAATGGCTCCCTCTGTAACAATTCTTGTGATCATCAGCAGACTTGCCAAGAGAATGTATATTTATCACTGATGTCTTCCTTTATAAAGACATTTTTTTGTAAAGCTAGATTATTTCCTTATTGTGTGACCCTATGAGTCTTCTCCCTGGATGTCAGTCACCCTGTGTAACACTGCGTTATGTCCACCATGTCTGAGTTCTGACTGCATCATAATTATTTCTTAGTGTCTTGACGGTACAGCAGAAGTAGTACAGCTTCATGCGCACTGATGAGCAAACCAGCAGCCCAGGAAGAAGTAAAACAATATCCCTGCCTGTTTCCTTTCCTGAATATGGTCAGCAGTTTTGACAGCATAAAAATCAGACAAAATTCTAATAGACAAGTTGTGGGATTTGTCATTGTTCTCACAGTGGGCTTTGGTACACAGAGGACAAGAGGAAGAGACAAGTCATTCATTTCAAAGTCTCAGGGACCTTTCAGGCTTCACTGAGGTTATGACCCTAAATCAGTGAACAGTGTATTAATACAGAGGTCCACAATACTGAACCTAGCTTCACCCTCTATTTAAGTCTCACTAACAAGCTGCAAAGAGGGTGATCTGTTTGTTAAGAATATAAATAGATGGGAAGCAAGAATGTAAAACACAACTTCTAATGTACTGACAGGGAATGAATAACTTGGAACTATGGGCTCAGTATCAGACTATTTTTGTGATGTGTCACCAAAATTAATATACAGCCTTATCAAGTTGGAACTTTATTGTGCAGGGATGGTTGCTGCATTAAAAGCCTTAAATCTTCTTTTTTTTTTTTGTTTAATTCCTAATTCATTGATTGCTTTAAAACAGTGCATTGGCATTAAACGTAAACACTGCATTTAACGCAGCCCACCGCTAAGTTTGAAGAGAAAAACCGAACGACAACCGCAAACCATGAGCGTTTTTCTTCTGTGAGCCTTTGCATTTCCTAACCCATCTCTGCGGCCTCTCTCTGCCGAAGGCTTGAAGGCCTTCAGGGACGTCCGGAGATGTCGTGCAGGGAAAGGGATGGAGGGCGTGGAGGGGAGAGCAGGCCAAAGCCCAGCTGGAAGATGGAAGGGGTTCCCAGGCGCCCGAGAAGGGCTGTGCCAGACGGCGTGTCCGGTAGGTAATCGGTGGTCCTCACCCCGACGCCGCGTTCAGACAACCTGCCCGCAGCTGCCGGCTCCTCTTGTTGTAGCTGTGCGGTTTGCCAGTTTATGAGTCAGTGAAGTGGGGAACTGGTGTGGGGCTGGGGTGGGGGAGAGACAGCTGTCGACTTGCCCCCCTTTCCCCTCGCCCCATCAAAGACGAACGCCAGATCTTAACAGCTGTTCCTTTAAGAGCCTCTCTTTCCCTCTCGATCGCTGTCCATTCCCACCTCCTCTCTCAGTGGCGTCATGTATAACCAATGTATTATTCACATGGGAACGAACTACCGAAGCCCTGTACAATACCACAGACTTGCTGCCCACTGTACTTTACTGAACTACAAATGATCGCGATCCATCTTGACCTGAACGTTCCTGCAACCTTTTCCAATTAAAAATGTCCATATTGTGTTTGTGCATCAAGAGTGGTGATGATAGAGTACGCTTTGCAAAAGAGCTGTTCAGCTGGATGGACATCACAGGAGACGACAAGCGCACGCATTTAACATCAAAAGCCTTGCAACGTTTCTAGGGACTGGAGTAGAAGCTCCTGACATGTTAGCCAGGAGAATCAATCACTGCAGGTTTCGAGAAGGTGGTGTACACAGGCTTTTAGGTGTGCAGTATTGGTGGAGAAAAACGAAAGCTTGAAGGATCTTGAGTAATCCAGTACAGCTCGAGGGGGGAGTCTGGGTGGGCTCCAAGTGTGACATTAACTCACCCTGCTCTCTGCTTGCCACCCCCTCCTCCCCACACACACTAGAGGGCAGGTGGTGTGCAGCTTGCGCTGGGCTGCTGAGCTGGTATGTATCAGGACTATGTGGGCATGCCGGTAGCGGGCCCACTAACCCAAATGAGTTATTCAAAACACTCATCCAGGCGTGCTTCAAAACAATTAAACAGTCTGCCCACATTCCCAAAGCAATCACCTGGCCCTACAGCCCCAGGGAACTTAAGTATAGCTAAACTTTACTGATACTATAGGAAGACCTGAATAAAAAGACACGATTAGTACTGCTTGCTTGCTGACCATTTTTGAGCTTGGAATTTTCTGTGGTTTGATGTTGACATCACTGATTCTAATTTTCTGTTTTAAAGTGCAGTAAAGCATTGAAATGCAGTGGTTTCTTCCTATTCCCACCCAGTAAAAGCCTCGATTAGTTATTTATTAGTTCTGATTGCAAAGAGCACAGTGAGAGAAATTGACTACTGAATCATACTTATTTCAATGAATAATACATAAAACAGTACCTGAAGTATTAAATAAGGACCATTTCCCCTTACCTTGGCTACTGATCTCAGTGCAGTTTTAAACTTAATAGCCATTAAAATCTGAACACTATGGTGAAACTGAACCTATTTAGCGTCTCAAAGCACATGCACTCTCCTTTAATGGTGAATTTTTCAGAACTGTGTCTAAGAAAGAACTCCAGCCAAGCTTCCCCCACAGTTCCAGACTGGTCAGAAAAGCCCCCCCCCCACTTCCACCACCACCACCCACTATTTGAGAGGCCGGAATAGTGAGACAGCAGTGCGCTGAGTGTGAGGGTGACAGGCCCCAGAGGAATGCCCAGCCCATGCCAACCGGTGGCACTCCTGGCAGCTCAGGGCAGTGCGAAGGAGTTCACACTGCAGGACAGCGAACACAGCCAGAGGACCGACTCGCATGTCATCAGCGGAGATCACTGCACTCTGCAGGAAGTTAAGGCTGCTAAGGTTTCCTCTTTGGTTTGCGCTCAAGTTTTTCACAACTCACGTCCTGGCCACCCAGCTAATAATTTATTTTAAACTCTCCGCTGCTCTGAAACACGTGGGACCTAAAACGACTGCGGAAATTGTTTGTTGCCCACTCCCCTGCATGCCAAGAAGGTTTTATCACCTGGAATGGACTCTCACACAAGCCATGGGTATCTAAATGACACTTGGACCAAGCTAACACAAGCAGGATTGTAAAAGGTGGAATAACCTTTGGGAAAACCTAAAATATATTCATTTTCATTTCTCAGATCAAAAAAATAAGTACATGAAAGATGCTATTCTAAGAATCTAAGATAAGAAGCACATTGTCTTTTATTCATGAGAATGCCATCATGGCAATAGCTCAACAGATTGCCATTCCTGGTGTATACAATTTAGACCATTGTCCCCATCCAATGTCCCCCAAAATTTAAAAAATAAACTGGGGCTACAGAAAATAAACTGGCCTTCTGTCTCATTTACTTTGCACAGAGTCCACGTATTTCACTAATTGGGGAATCAGGGGAGACAAGTGCAATCTACTGTATGTGGATGTTCATTTAAAACTAAGAAAAGGAGACACTTTACCCAAAGGTTTGTGGGAGTATGGAACAAGCTATGCAGTCGTGATATCCAAGGCAATACCCTGGCTTACATGTACTATACATTTATTCATTTGGCAGACGACTTTACCCATTTACCCATGAAAGTGACTTACAAAACCTGACCAAGATGCAAAGGGTGCATATAACAGCAGCTGCTTTCAAGAAAGGGCTGGATGAGACAGATGGATCCATTAGCTACTGACTGCCAAAACAAGGTGTTAAAGGGGCTCCTCTCGCC